CGCGCACTCTAACAACAATATCAAGCTTGGGCGCGCACTCTCAAGCTTGGACGCGCGTGGGCGCGCACTCTAACAGCAATATCAAGCTTGGGCGCGCATGGGCGCGCACTCTGACAGCAATATCGAGCTAGGGCGCGCATGAGCGCAGACTTAAAATAATACCTGGTCTAGGCGCGCGCGGGCGTGCACTGAAAATAATTATCTGATCTGGGCGGGTGCGAGCGCGCACTTTAAAATAATATCAAGATTCAATCTTTGCATGGGGTCAATATACTACTGCTTGAAACAGGATGGAGTGATTACTGCGCGCAAGACTTAGCCTTCTCTTAGGGCCTGACCACTATTGACATCAAATGCAGACTAAGTACTCAGTTGAAACGGACACTGGTACCCCTGGTTCGGAACAACGCACAGTTCCGAACAACAGAAAATGACCCTCAGTCATGGTGCGCAACAGCGCACAGTTGCAAATAGCAAAATGATTCTCAATCACGGTGCGCAACCGCGCACAGATGCAAATAGCAAAATGGTTCTCAACAGCGGTGTGCAACAGCGCACGGATGCAAATAGCATAATGCTCAGAAATGGTCCTGACAAAATAGCTCAATGCTCAGAAATGGCCCTGACAAATAGCACAATGTTCTGAAATGGCCCTTGTGAATAGCACTGCTCAGAAATGGCTCTTGCGGAATGGCACTGTTCGGAAATAGCACTTGCAAATAGCACTGTTCAGAAATGGCTCTTGCGGAATGGCACTGTTCAAAAATAGCACTTGCAAATAGCACTGTTCAGCACTGTTCAGAAATGGCTCTTGTGAATAGCACTGTTCAGAAATAGTTCTATGCGAATGGCCCTCAGATACCGCGCTCAACTGCGCACAATGGCGAATGACCCTCAGATACAGCGCTCAACAGCGCACAGTGGCGAAGGCCCTCAGATACAGCGCTCAACAGCGCACAGTGGCGAATAGCACATATAGCCCTCAGATACAGCGCTCAACTGCGCACAGTGGCGGATAGCACTAATAGCCCTCAGATACGGCGCTCAACTGCGCACAGTGGCGAATAGCCCTCAGATACAACGCTCAACAGCGCACAGTGGCGAATAGCACATATGACCCTCAAATACAGTGCTCAACTGCACACAGTGGCGAATAGCACTAATAGCCCTCAGATA